AATTCATACTGTATGATTCCATTTTTATGAAGTATAAAAACAGTCAAAACTATTCAATGTTGTCAGAGGTCAGGATAGTGATTACAGGGGGTGGGAGAGGAGGTGACGAACCCGACACTGGGAAAAGCTGCTGGGGTGCTGTTAATGAGTCTTTATCTGGGTGCTCTTTACATGGAGGTGTTGAGCTGGTGAAAATTCATCAAGCTGTACAAATTATCTGCGCACTTTGCTATATGTACATACTCAGGCAAGGATGAATTGCAAAGAGGCAAGAGGAAACTTTTAGGGGTGATGGCAACATTCATTATTTTAATTGCAGGGTGGATTCACAGATGTAAACATACATCAAAACTCATCAAAGTGCACACTTTAAATATGGACACTTAATTGTACATCAATTATTTCTCAAAAATAAAGCCATAAAAAAACTTTAAAAAACTCTCCAACAGAGCACCATTTATGTTGTGAGTAGAAATGTAATTTCAGCAAAACGTTATGCTTTAGAATGTTGCTAATTTCAATTTTATTGGTGTGGGTAAAGTTATAATAAATCCCTTCTGTTTGGAATTTGACCTAAGCTCAACTTTCTAGTTCTGTAACCCTGAAAAGGTGATAAATTTAGTTAGCTGTGTCACTTAGCATGATAAAAATGACTCTTGTAAAACTGCATCTAGACTTGAACTATAAATGAAGTGTTAGCATCAGATGGGGACACCATATCATGGGGCTTCCCTGAGTGCAGTCACTTGTCATTAGGCATGTTCCTTCCAGGGACCTCTGAAGCTCTGTCTATGGAATTGTTACAAGAAAGACTGGATCCTGTGGGGAAGGAGGCCAGTGAGAAATTGTCTTTCTTTAATTGAGATATAATACATACATCAAAAAATTCACCCCTTTAAAGTAGTTTTAGTATATTTATAAGCTTGTGCAACCATCACTAATTCCAGAACATTTCATCACCCCCAAAAGAAACCCTGTTCCCATTAGCAGTCACTTCCCATTGCCAAGGACGCTCTTGTACCCACCTGATGTGAATCGCCTTTCCTCCTGCCTGAGCTGTCACTAATGGGGAGGCTAATGAGGCTCATTCCTGGTCAGCCGTGTAGACCAGGGACTGGCACTACTGACATTTTGGGCTGGATGATTCTTTGTTGTGGGGGGCTGTCCTGCACATTGTAAGATGTGTAGCAGCCTCCTTGGCCTCTCCCCACTAGATGCCAGTAGCAACACACCACAGCCCCCTAACCGCCCAGGTAGTGACCATCAAGTGTCTCCAGACATTGCCAAATGTCCCCCGGGGGGCGAAATCACCCCCAGGGGAGAAGCAATGATGTAGACTGACTGCTTTCCCACAGGAAAGCAAAGCCTGATTCAAACCTGCTGGGAAGCTACGGTTGCTGTCCTACATCCCTGAGTAGACCAGCACCAAGAGTGGCCTGAATATTTAATTTTAAGAAAAACCCCAAAGGGCACTGCAATTGGTATTGTAAGTTTATCTGCATTTAATTTGTAAATTTAATTGTGTTAGCATAAGCAGTTTCATATCTCTCTGTGATTTTTAATATATTTATGTAATATTATAAAACATAAACACTGGGATCCATGAGAATTTTTTTTTACCTTGGAAAGGGGATTGGTCTGAGTGTTTACTCAGGTTTAAACAACACTGAGTTAGGTAAGAGTCATGTTTTCAGTATCAAACTAAGCAAATGACCATGATGCCATAAACATAAAGTCTAAAAAAAATCCTCATCAATAAAAATGGAAAAGTAGACTGAAGCATCAGTATTAATCTTATTAATTGAAATCTGATGCGGTCTGAGATGTTAATTATGCCTATGATCAATGCCTATAGGCACACTTATTTTTTTTGCAGTTCAGAATTTTTTCCTTTTCTTTCTTTTTTAGCCACATAACCCCATTCTATTGGCAGCTAGTATCGACAAAGTAGTAGTAATAACTGCGAAGGTACCACGTACTACTGAAGTACGGTGGAAATGGTGGATGCGGAGCTAAGAGATCTAGGTTTGAGTCCTAGCACTGACACTCTCTGGCTGAGGTATGACATACTTACTTTGAGTCCTAGTTTTCTCAGCCATGAAATGGGGATAATATAGCCACCAACCTCAGTTTGTCTCTTAAGAGAGAATATAACATGAAAGCACTCTGTAACCCATAAAGTACTTTACAAAAATTACATTAGTATTACAAACACTTACCTCAGTCAATTTGCTCAAGTCAGAATGATCCATGGGCAGTTCTACTGCATCAACAATTGACGTTTTGATATTTTTATTAATCCTTTCCACTTCACTGAAAGCTAGACGCTGAAGAGGAAATGCATTCCAGGACATGTTTTCTAGATGTGGAGAAGCATTCAAAAGAAGCCCATAGATGATTTTCCGGATGGGCAGAGAGATTCTGTGGGCATTTGGTTGCTGCATGTTTTCCACCTGTGTGTGAAGAATGGTCCGTCTTAGCACCAAAGCATCGCTGATGAAAGGAGACAGCTGGCCTTTGGCCAAAGCCACTAGTACCCATTCCGGTAAACCCAGATTCAAGGCATCTGGACAGGCATAAGTACCATACTGGAAGAAGTCCTGCAGCTTCACCTGGGACTGCTGGTATTCTTCCATGGAACAGCAGAGAAGTTCCTTAACATTTTCTCGATTCTTTTTGGGGAGATATTTCAGAACGTTATCTAGTGCTTCAGTAGGGTCAGCAAATTGAGACAACCAATTCAGAAGTCCCAGAACTCGGTGGTGTCTCCTCCCCTTAGAACTGGCAGCTCCAAGAGGAAGACGTACTTTACTTAAGAATGTCTCCATGATGGGCAGATTAATATGGTCATTTCCACACAGCACCGCAAAGAGAGGTAGTAGGGCTTTATTCATATTGCCGAAGTGATGGCAGAATGCATCCAGGGAAAAGCATTTCGCAGGAATATAGTAGTCTTTTGTGCCCTTAATACTGTTCATGTTTCTCCACTGAAAGCTATTCAATGGGCAAAACCCAGTTTTCAGATCAAAAATGCAAAAGTCACTATCCGATGATAACACGGGACAATTCCAATGATTAGCCAGTGTCATAATGTCCCGATCTGCTTCTGAAAAGCACTGGACAAAACAGACCTGCAGCTTGATCAAAACCTGTATGAACACTTCCCGGATGAGTAAGGGACACACATATCCACCCCCACCAACAGAAAGGGAATGGGCCATCTGGATCTTCTCTCTAGCTCGATCCTTTAAAGTTGTAAGCTTTTTATCTGAAATGTCACATCCTCCATCTAATACAACATATGGACATATATTACAAGCAGACAGTGATTCGAAGAATTTTTGTACAACATCTGCAAAAGAATCATAGTCCCCTCCAAACCGAAGCTCCAAGTTTGAATTGAAGCAAAGCCGGTGGAAGAGCGCATAGCCATCGATGATAATTTTTGTGTCTCGCAACTTCAAATCAATGAAGAACTCATTACTGTGATCTTCTACAAAACTCATTAGTCCTCGAATACCCATGATGATCGTTTGAACAATTACCTGTCTAAAGCAACAGAACACACTTTCAGTTGATGCTGGTTATGGGGGACCAAGTCATTGTTTCCAGCACCATCAAATCAACAGCAAATGTTATGAAGAACTCTTTAAATAGAACATACTAAGGGTCAGCATTTCAATTCTTACCTAGATCCTCAGGCAACACCTGAGTACTTTTTCATTCTCTTGTGCTTTTCCCGTGTGTTACAAGGCACAAACTCAGTGGTTTCATGGAGTTTGATCTTTGGATAGGGATGGAGGCTGCTGAAGATTCTAAAGAAAAATCAGTTAAAATCCATTATTGACACCAATATAGAACTTCTGTGGACTCTGATATTGGGGCAGATAATAGTCACCATCTTACAACACAAAATATTTGTTTTGTGGAGTCAAAGTAAAACATCCTAAACTATAAAAATGATATTCTTCTCAATCTCAATTAATCAGAAAGCACTGGGCTTCAGTTAACTCAAGTGTGGAGGGTCAATGATATGGATCCAGTTTTTCTTTTTTGACAACAGAGACTGGGACCTTCTTTCAGGCCTTGGCTTGTGGGCTCATCCTAATTGGCATAGTTTTGAGTAAGGAAAACTACTGTTTCATGCCTTGAGGAACCTAACTTTCCAGTTTCATCCCAATCGGACGCTCTTCTCATCTTCTTTACTCTGCATATCTGGCCCAGTTACAAGAATACCCTTCCCCATCTGACTAACTTAAGTCACAGGATCAGTATCACTAATTTTCCCTTTGGTCTCAGTCAACAATACGGCTCAGCATGGCACTGTTACTGATCCTGTCTTTATTTAAAATCGTGAGATTTTTGTCAAGCATGGATTTTTTTACATTAATTTTGATTAAAGAATTGCATTAAAAGTTATCTTGAATACAGAGTTTTTGGGGCATGCCCTTGCCTTTTGTGCCCGACTCACTTCACCCTAGTCTTGGCCTATCTCAGCACCTTATCCTGTATACATATTTCTTTATAGGTCTGTCTTTTAAAGCTTATGCAAGCAGAGACTGTGTCAACTTACACTAAGCTAATTACAAGACTTTGCACAGAGTAGTTGTTCAACAAATGCATACCGACTAGGACAAAGACGCACGAAAGGTATGATCCAAGTCCTCAAACAGAGGCCTTTATACACCGCGCTAACGGGGCCCTCAAAACCCACCACCCGGTCCAGCAGCAGAGCCCACCTGCTCCGTCCTGCCAGGGGACCAGCCCCTCGATCAGAAGCCCGCAGGACACAGGCGAGCACTGGAAGCCCTGGCACGTGCGAGTCCGACTCCAAGAGCGGGAACAGGAAGTCTCCGGGTCTGACGTCACTGGGAAGCCCGGTTCCGTGAAGCCAGTGGCACCAGACTGCGCCGTGGATCAGCTGCTGCGGGCCTGGAGGCGCGGGGTCGCTAAACACGTATGCTCTGAAAAGGCTGCTATCAGGTTAAGAAAGCGCGACCCGCCGAACCTGCTCTCTCTTCCCCGCCCTCTTGGGTCGGCGCACACTTCCGCCTCGGGAGCAGAGCCGCCGCGCCCCGACTTCCCAGCATGCCCCGCGCGGTCTCCCTGGCAACGGTGCCCAACAGGCGCGGCCGGCGGTGGTCCTGCAGCGCGGCGGGTGCCGCTGCCCCCACGTTGAGGCCGGCCCACGTACGTCCCAGTTACGGTCGGGCTCTGGGCATGCCCCCTGCACCGCCGCTCCTCCGCCCTCGACCCGGAAAGGTACGCCACAGGCGCTCCTCGGACGTGCCGGCTCAGGTGATGGTTTCAGGCACTCCCCGCCGGCGTCCGCATCTCAGGGCCGCCGTGCCCGAGACCTCCTCACGTCCCTCGACTCCTTGCCTCCCGGATCTGCTCCAGTCCCCGGAGAATAAGTGTTGCTGATGCCCCTTCGATATTTGATAACACGCTTGCGAAAATGTTAATTAAAAAAAAAAAAGTTGAGGCAAGGAATTGTTCGTTTTACTTAAGGTTAAGGTTTACCTTTAAGGTATTTTGGCAGAATCTGGCGTCCAGTCAGCTTTCTCTCGTTTATTATTACCCGGGAAGAGAACTACTTGGCTTCGACCTGTGATAAACACTCTCCTTTCCTTGTCTTTTGTCCCCAGGCAGATGGGTTTCACCTCCAAAGGTCAGTTTGCACAGGGCGGTAATCTCCCCTTTCTCACGGTTCCCATCCGACTCTCTAAATCTTCTCTGCCCTCCCCCAGCCACGCACACGTTTTTTCCCCTTGGGCAGCAGTTGGTCTGCTGGACGCTTATTAGCTCCAACAAAGTTTACTGAACACCTGCTATATGCCAGGCGCCAAGGATGCAAAGATAAAGAAGGTGTGTTCCTGGCGCTCAAGTTCATTCACAACACTTGTGAAGTGGGGGTGAGGGGACATTGACAAGTGAACAGGAAGTTCTAGAATCTAGGCGGCGCGGTACATTCTTGGCTAGCCCTGTGGTTGCACAGAGGAGACTAATGGAATTGATGGCCTAAAGGTGGAGAGGAAGTGGGGCGGCAGGGGTCTGGGAGGTTGGGCCAGAGGGAACCTAGTCCTAGGATACTCTGTGGCCCGGGCCAGACTGCCTGGGTGTAAACGCTCATTTACACATAGGAGCCTCTGGGAAATCGGACTTCTCAGAACTATTCTGTCCCTCGCTGAACAGAAACGTTTATCTCGTCTCTAAAATAAGGAGAATTAGTGATCTAAAGAGTCCTTTTCAGTTGAAAAGGCTGTCAGTCCATACATTTTTCTTAACAATTAAACTTGGCCAGAAAGCATCGTTTTTTATGCCAGCAGAGGAAGGAAACAAAAGATACATTCGGAGGCCTGCTCTCCAGTTGTTTTTCAGCATTAGATTTCGCTAATATTTTCTGTGATCTTGATAATCCCACATAATTCTTTATTTATTCAAGAATTTTGAGGTATAGGCTCCAGCTCTGAAGTTCCAACCCAATGCTGATGTTGTTTTAGTATTGTTACCAGCACAGAGCCACTCAGGTGACTTGGTTTATTTCTGAGGTTTTTTTTTGTTTTTTTTTTTAAAGCTGGTTACTAATCTCCTCACTGGCATCAGGTGAAACTTAAGTGATTAATACATTATTTCAAGAAGAAAAATGCTGTAAATGGACATTTACTTGTTTATGTTTTATTCTCAGGATTTTTGTAATTGCTACAAAATTGCCATGTGAAGCCAGTTGGCCATGTACACCAAACTACGCAGATAACATCTTGTTTTATCATTATACACAGTAGGTTTTTTGTCTTATAGCTTTGGAATTGTTGAATATGGAAACCTGACTCCAAGGCATAGACAGTCTTCAATTTAAAATCATGTTTTCTTATAGATTTAAAACAAAACCCACTTTTCATAATTACTAGCAAAACATTTTACATTTTGATGAAATAAAAGTGATTTTACCGTGCATGTACTCATATGAAACAGTCCTGTGTTTCATAATTCTGCTGTACATTTATAGCTCCTTGAGGAATTTCAGATTTACCTATAACATATTTATGTTCAGCTAACATTAAAATACAATTTTAGATTTGAACTGTATTTGTGACATTTCTTGTTTCCAATCCAGGGAGATTACTCTATACACAGTGTATATAGTAGAAACTTCTGAAACTGGATTAGAATTTGCTTACGATAGGGGAAAATTCATTCTGAATCCTTATATCTCTTCACATCTATTCTAATAAATGCAAATACCATAGTTTAAAGTCTACAGAAAAACAAATCTAAAGAAACCAGTATCATGCTAATTTCTGGTTGAATCCTATACTCACTATCTGTTAATCAAAATAGACATAAGACAGGATGAAAGAATTACCAAAAGGTTGATGCAAATATATAGATTTAAGGAAATGATAGTGTTCTTATATTTGGATGTGTTTTAAAAAGTACGTGGGGAGTGTAAAGCTTAAACAGATTGTTGATTGGAAAACATACATATTATGTCAGAACTTTCAGGAAATTTGACTAACTCAGTTTTGCCAGATTTGGATGTATGAGGGAAGGCTCTCTTCCTGTGAAAGACTGCCTTCTATTGGAATCTGCAGTATCTCCACCTTTTAACATTATTCTCTCATGTCATTAAAGTTAGCCAGTATGGTGCCATTCAATCCGCTAATCAAAGTGCAGGTATTGCTGTCAAAAACTTACACTTTTTGTTAGGAATAGTTCAGCATCATTTAGACCTGATCTCTGGACTTTTCATCTTTAAGGCATTGACTCACCCGACTTGGATGAATTTGACCATCTCCTAGGAGACTTGAATGTTAACGTTTCTGTAAACAAACCAGTTCTCTCTTGTTTGGAGCAATGCTGAAATTCCAAGAGGCTGCTAAGTGTGTGAGTGGATCAATAGCCATTTCCACTTATCCAAAGACCTTGATTGCAAGAAGATATGTGCTTCAACAGAAACTTGGCAGTGGAAGTTTTGGAACTGTCTATCTGGTTTCAGACAAGAAAGCCAAACGAGGGGAGGAATTGTAAGTAAAAATACTTTATACAAGTCTTGAGTTGGCTGCCCTGTATGTGCAGCTTTTAGCTGATTAATAACATGGAGTATTGTTTGCATGTTTGCTGTTTGCATTAACGTGAGAATTTAGTAAGAGATAGAAAAGCTCCCTGAATGGTATCTTCAGATAAGATATTTAAAGGCATTTCAGCAGGTGAGTAAAGTACCCAAGTGACCTAAAGAAAGCAAATGGGATAGATTATGTGAAAGTCAGATTTTTATGCATACCAGAGTCTCAATTACACCATTGCTTCCACTTCACTTGATTGGGACTTCTTGAATGAGAAAATAAGAATTGTTTATAATGACTGCAGTTTTTGAAATGTTTTGAAATGCAAATAAATGGTAATTCACAATTGAGGTGAATAGGGTGTACTGAAGGAAATATGGTATTAATGTTCTGTGGCATTTTTCTATGGAGGAATTTTTCAAAGTCTGTAGTCATACAGCCCTCAAATTAGATATTTAAAGCAAACAGGGGCTCCCATCTAAAATTCAGCTTATGTTGATGACCCTCTTCTTACTTCTTTTCCTTTGATTTGGATCAGACCCTATAAACTTTCATAGTACAGAAAAACTCTTCAGGCTGTTGGACAGTACATCTCTTACAAATAAGGATGAATCTTCATTTTTAGCTTAAAGTTGTTTGAATTTGCTGTGGTGAAAAGTTAGTTGGAACTGAAATTAGGATGAGAAACTTGTACATCAGAAACACAGGAGGAAGAGAAAGCAGAGGGAAGAATGATCCAAGAAATCAGCCCTTAGCTTCAGAAGAATAAATTTCTATCCCATAGTCTCTTCTTTTATTCAGAAGTTTTGAGGCTACTCTAAGTTCTTACAGCTATTGCCCATTGAATATTTAAAAGTTTAAAATCAGTGTGAGAAACACTTTTCTACTACTTGATATGTCATGGGAATTAGAAAGGTAAATGTTACTGATGCTACTATTTTATTTTTAAAATCAACCTTTTAAATGGTCTCTATGCCCAGAATTTTAAAAACTAATTTTCTGTAATTCATAGTTTTCAGTAAATTCTTACGTGAAGAATGGTGACAGTGCTGGCACTTTTCTGGTGTCCTTAGAACATGCTTTATGACTCCCACTGAAAATAATTTTTCCCTTAAAACCTAGAGGTACTCTTCCAGCCATTTAGAACAGGATGATAAATTTCTGAAAATCACTAGAGAACCTTTCGGGAAACATCAAAAGACCTAAATCTGACCCAGGGCTTTTAAAAATCACACTGTAAAGACCGTATCCAGTTTTGGTTTCTTCAGCTAATGAGAAATATGAATAATTTTAAGAGAATTCACAGGAGGGCTAAAAAGTTGATTAAAGGCATGTAAAATAAAATATATGAAGACCCAACTTGAAAGCTTCAGACTTGAGATGATGGGTGAGTGTAGTGTGTGTGTGTAGAGAGAGAGAGAGAGAGAATGAGAGAGAAGAGGGGGCTGGTTGGTTGGGAAGTGATTTGTCAGGGACCTTTCCTATACCTGAACTAGTCTTAAAATATGTGACTTGAGCTGAAGATGGCAGACAAAGCCTGGGTGTGTGGAATGAATCCAGTAGTGAGGATAATTGACAAATCATTTGATATCAGAAGTTCTAGTCTAGAATCTCTTGGAAAGTAATAGTTCATCTTCAGAATCTCTACAACATATTACATACTGGCCACATTCAACCTTCAGATGTGTTTTGTTAGGCCTGCATAGTGTTTCTTGTTTAATCTAAATTAGTTGTCAATATTTAAGAATGGGCAACTCTCTTAAAAATTGAGCATTTCATCTTCTCTTGAAAAAAATCAAAAGATTTGGTAACATGTGCTAACATTGCTGCCTGTGTAGCCAATATGGGCTGGGGCTGGGTAGCAGCTGTCCCCTTTAGACAGACCCTGCACCCTCCAATTAGCCACATTTCTACCTTTCCTCACTGTCACTTACACCCAACTGCGTGTCACCTTTCCACTGCCTGCCTACCTTTGTAGACATTTGATTTTAGAACTGTCTGCTAAAATCATGAAGAATCATAAATATGGCTGCTCACAAAATCCTAGAATGCTAGAAGGAAGTGTATCATACCTTTACGTACCAGACCATCCCTTGGTATCCCTTGTTAAGGGAATGACTTGGGTCATTGTTAAAACCACAGGCTTTGGGGGGCTGGCCCCATGGCTTAGCAGTTAAGTGTGCATGCTCCACTACTGGCAGCCCGGGTTCGGATCCCGGGTGCGCACTGATGCACTGCTTGTCTGGCCATGCTGAGGCGGTGTCCCACATACAGCAACTAGAAGGATTGTGCAACTATGATATACAACTGTCTGCTGGGGCCCTAGGAGGGAAGGCTGTATATGACAAACCCACAGCTAATATCATCCTCAATGGTGAAAGACTGAAAGCTATCCCTCTAAGAACAGGAACCAGACAAGGATGCCCACTGTCACTACTCCTATTTAACATAGTACTGGAAGTCCTAGCCAGAGCAATCAGGCAAGAAAAAGAAATAAAAGGGATCCAAATTGGAAAGGAAGAAGTGAAATT